AAAGCTTGGTAATTTTTAAAAAAAAAAAAACCTTCACAACTCAGCTAAAGATGAAAGTGAAAAACAGACTTCACAATAATGGCAAATCAGTGTTTGTCCCTGGTAATGGATAGGATGATAGTAAGTAAACTGAGATGCAATCAAAGATGAAGATCCAGTTACTGAGAATCTGTCCATATGATGGAAATTCACCTGTTCTAGATTACATAGTGCTTTCCTTAAAGAAGGAATAAGGAATCAAGGTAGCAGGCTAGATCTCTCTTCTAATTTGGCCTGTCTGTCAGTCTCTTTTGCTTAGTCTCATTCTCTCTTCTTAGCCCTACCCCACTTGCTGTGCCATATTGTGTGTGTATGCGTGTGAAAGAGAGACATGCGGATCAGTTTTTTGTCAGTATTTGCTTCAGGCTGTTCTGCTGCTTTTTATGTGTTCTAATGTGGCCTTTGATGTGTTCTGATGTATTATCTTATGTTGTAAACTGTCCACAGAATTTTTCAGGGGACAGCAAACTATAATCACATGTCATGATATGATAGCTAACGACCCTGGGGTTTGAGATTGATTCTCATGAGAAGGAACAGGGCTCATTCTATATTTTTGCTTTTCAGCATCACAGTTGTATTGCTGCACCAATGTACATGCAGCAAATATAATAGATATATGGCTGACATTGTCCAGCAAAACCCTGTATAGAACTATAAATATCCTCTAATAACTGCTGCAAAGCTAACAAGACATTAATACTCCCCATATAGAGAGATGTGACATTATTAAGAATTTGCAATGTGGAACTAAGCTTAAATAATCAAGGCTCTTTGATGCAAAGCATTACAATAATTAACAAACGTAAAAGCTTCAGATCCAAACCTGTGAAAAAGCCAGCCAAATTGTGATACCACATACCTAATAAGCAGTTACGGTCATTTCCTAATTAGTGACTTAGCATCTTCTGAAGTCATCCAACCATTGTTATGCTACCATAACTCTAATGAGGACAGGCTTTATATTACTTGAACAACTGTTGGATGATGCTGTGAAGATGCTGTAAGTCACGAGTGCAGAAATGACCTACATGGATGGATTTTTAGGTATGCATAAAGGAGAGTCCTGAAAGGTCAGGCCGAAAGACCCATATATTCTTGCATGTTGTGTCATACAGGCCAATAAGGTGCATTCAGGAAGCTCACAAATAGAACATGAGAGCAGAAGCCAACTTTCACAGTTGTTCCCCACACTTGGTATGCATGTGGGTGTGTGTACACAAACATATACACACATACATACATATATACACTTACTCCGCTGCAATCCACAAACTTTCAGCAATTAATAGCAACAATATAATCAACAATAGAAGTTCAAGCATCCATGGTAAATAAAAATAAAATTAAATGATATCATAAAATAGTATTTAAACAAAAGTATTCCACAATATTTCACAACAACAACAGCAGCCTAATTACCATTGGTGTCAATTCATTTTTTGTTAGCTCTCTGAAATAATTCTGGTTTTAGTAACTCTTGGAAAGTTAACAAAATACAGGCTGGTCTCATTTCTAGAGAAAGGCTATTCCATACTGTAGGATATGTTGCCTGTGATTCTAGCAACCACCAGAACCGAACCACATTTCCATCAATTTCTGAGTTTTCCTTTCAAAAAGATGTAATAGCAGACCTGTGGCCAAGACCTTGATGGGAAAAAAGTCGAGAGGTTTTAACCCTTTGCTGTGAGCCTGCCCCAGATAGAATGTCTTCCCGCCTATAATTTGCATTTTTAAACCCATTATGTCACATTTAGGTTGACCTTAACTTGCATGTATCAAGGTAACAAAACCCCTTTTTACCCCCGGCATCATCAATTGGGACATTTCATCAGTAATTTACTGTATCCTGTGGCTTTTTTTTTTTTTTTAATGCTGTGGTTAATAAATTCTCAGAAAGTGGAAAGTGTGAGACCTGATGATGTCATTTTAACTCATCTCTACCTTCTGAGCACAGTAGTAATGGAGATGTGTACATATATATATATGTAAGAGAACCTTCAGCATTTTAAGTCACATCCAAAAAATTCAAGTAAGTACTAATGTATACACCTTGCATCTTTTATATATATGTATGACTAGACTAGACTATTTGTTTTATGTATCTTCTTCGATCATCCTAATTTTTTGTGTCTCTTGAAAGATCTAAGGCTGTAGCTGAGACTTTCCAGTGCTGACTACCATTCTCTTGGAACTATGGATCCATGGAAGAATTGGACAAGATGCTTTCTCCTTTGGGCATTCTGCTGCTACTGCCTCTTCTTCCTCACTATTGCAAATCCTTTGCTCTCGAAGCAAGCAGACACTCTACATAATCACTCCTGCAGCCTCAGCAAACACCACTTCCAGAGAATCACCATCAAGAACCTGACCTATAGCTTAGCCAAACAGGTAAAAGTAGGCTTTGCACGATGCGAGAGTACTGGCTGTATGACTTTTCTCTTGTGTATTTTCTAGTTTGCATCCCTTTCTTTCTTTCTTTCTTTCTTTCTTTCTTTCTTTCTTTCTTTCTTTCTTTCTTTCTTTCTTTCTTTCTTTCTCTCTTTCTTTCTTTCTCTCTCTCTCTCTCTCTCTCTCTCTTTCTTTCTGAAAAGACACTTGCCTAGGCTATTTTGTAGCAGCTGGATATGTCCTGGTGAGTTCTGGTTCCCCAAATTGAATATATAAAATGTATAATTTGGGAAACCATAACTCAGTAGGGCATATCCAGATGTCTATGCAGAGCAATCTGGTAGCAGTCAGGTACATGTCCCTTTCCTTATTGGCTACATTGTCAGCCATACAGTATAATTTGCTCCCTGTTATCTTCTGTCTATAAATCTTGCAAATTTCAAATTTGTTAAATATTTACAATGTATTGTGACTTCCATGCCAGACCACCAGAAAACTCCTCAGATCTTATTTTGGTGGGTTTTACCCTTCTTGCCAGGGTTTCCACATTGTGCCAAACCCTCGTATTGGTTTGTCTGGTTTCAGCTTAGCACAATTTGTGATACTATCGTGGCTTGTAAATAATGGTTTATCACTTAGAAAATTATGTGGAAATCAGCCACCGTATATGATTTTTAAAATCCAAAATGCAGTGTGTGAATCTATTGGCTATCTCACATGAAAATGTTCTTTGTCCCCTTTTTCTTGGTTTCTACAATTCTGTGGTGAAATTAAAAAGCTACTGCAGTTCGAATAAATTGGTGGCCACAAAGCAGCGCTTTTTCAATGTTAAAGGCTCATTTTTCTGCCCTACAGTTTTCATGTTTCTCTTTTCAGGCAAGACTTCATGATGAGGACACAGATAACAGGTTTGTGGGACAGCATCTATACACCAACATCACGGTGAGTCTCTACTTTACACAAGCATTAACTAATTTTAAAAAATGATCTATGTAAGCTTAGGTGTCTGCAGCAAACAGAGGTGTCTGTGGCTGGATCAAAAAAAGCGAGATAGTCTTTTTTTATATGCGTTGCATGTGCAACTCTTCTTAAAAAGCGAAGGGTCTTCAGGTGCAGAGTTATGACCATCTTGGCTTCCATGACCCACTGCTGCAGATTACAGCAAATTGAATGTATGTCAAAATGATGAGACGCACACAGTGACATCAATCCAATCCTTACATATTTGCATCTTGACATTGGGTGCTAGTATGTTGTGGTTTTTGTTCAGGACATCATGATGCATGTTTTGTCACTTGCTCCTTTTTGCCCCTCCTGCAGTTGCCCATGTAAGTAAGTGCGTACTCCTGCATTGTTCAATCTCCATTGTTTACCTGTTTTCTTTTGCAGAGAAATGAACATTGCTACTTAATGAAAAGAGTAACAGATATTGTAGTCACACGTGTCCTCTATAAACCGAAGAAGCAATATACTGGTCTCCAGGAAGTGGCATATTTCTTTGTGCATCTGAATGCAAAACTGCGTGGCTGTGTAAGTATCATAAGAATCCTGTACTGGACTGAATGTCCCACTCTCTCCTGCCAGAAGCCAGACCATCTCATTGGGGATGATGGTGGGAGGAATATTTCAGCACATGTAAAGGAAATGCCAGTTTTGAAAAAACTTTTAATAGTTTTTGTCTGTTCCCCATCCCTTGTTCTCAGCTTTCTTGAAATTTTCCAGTTCATTTCTATTTCTCTTTCCTGGATGGTTTCAAATTGCAAATAGAGGTGGCCCCTGTTTATCTATCTCTATCTCTATCTCTATCTCTATCTCTATCTCTATCTCTATCTCTATCTCTATCTCTATCTCTATCTCTATCTCTATCGTCTGTCTGTCTGTCTGTCTGTCTGTCTGTCCGTCCGTCCGTCCATCCATCC